AACACACACACACACACACACGGAGAGAGAAAAGTGGAAGATTCAAAGAATGGACGTGGAAGTGTGACGAATGGAAAAGTAAATAATCATATCATTCATAGATATAAAGCAAATAAAATTTCAACAAAATGAATATCTTTATTACATAGGAAATGAAAGTTGTGATTTTCACACTTTAAATAAAATGAAAGGAAACTATACACTATATTACAGGTGTATGTTGCCAACCACGGAAATGCGTAATAATATGAAATGGACAGCAAGTGTTTCTAACCTCCTGTGTATAGATAAAAGTGATTGTACTTCGGCCTCTGATATATATGTATTGCGTGTGCGCGCGCGCGTGTGTGTGTGTGTGTGTGTGTGTGTGTGTGTGTGTGTGTGTTTGTGTGTGTGATTATGTGCGTGTTTGTGTGTGTATGTGTGTGTGTATATATGTGTGTGTTGTACGAACAAATCTGCAAGGGCTTTACTCGTGATAAAATAGAGAATCTGAAGCTTGGATGTGTGTGTATACATAGTTTTTAAAAAGTCCTGAGATTTCACAGTAGGAAAGAAAACGCCGCGCTTAGAAAAAAGACCACAAAAAACAACCAAACCTCAATACAAAATGTCTGGACCTTTGACTTTTCTTGAGTTTGTGAAGAAAATAAAAATACCTTAACCACAAAACCTATCTAAAAAAACGAACACCAAATTGGAAAGGGCTGGCCCCATCGAGACACGTATACAGAGTTCAAAGCGTTAGACGACTAACATTCCAAGCTAGTATAGATTTATAAAACTAATCACGGTATTTGACAAAAAGATAGTGTGGTGTTTTGGTGACATTACTTCAGTGGGTGATACAAAAGGAACCAAAAATATTGCGAGACAGACAGCGATTTGTTCGTTAATCAAAAAAGCGTTTCTTTCAACTGTGTTGCTTATAACAGAAAGAAAATGACAGATGAGCCGAGTTGGGAGTTCACAAGTTACAGAGACCAGAATCGGAGGCAACTCTATAATGTTACTGTTTCGTGCAGTAAATTCACCGCTGTCACAACAGCTTTTATCTTGTAACAAGTTGCACACTGCAGTCTTGCAGCCCTTTCGCTTGTCTCCGTAAAAACTACCCCCCCCCCCCCAAAAAAAAAAAAACAACCCACACACACCCTGGAAGAAATAACAAACTCACAAAATCGCCCCAAAGAGTTAAAACCCACAGAGAAATCTTATCTAATACCGTTTACAACAAGAAGCCTATCTTAATCATTCGTCTGAAAACCCAAGCCAGTAGATCTACCAGATTAAAGTATCTATTTGTCACTAGTGGCGAGTAAACATTGCCCCTCAAAACTGTGTATTCGCCAATAAGAGCGAAGCGTCAAGTTTATTAGAACCAAGTCGGAAATCCGTTTATGGATTACAGTAATACTCAGTTTAAAAAAACAAAAAAAAAACGTTTTTCTTTGTTTATCTTTGGGCATGGTAACAACATACAAATTGAAACAGATTATTGATTATATTGACAAAGAACACGTCCCTGGTCCAACCGAGGTCAATGTAGCTGTTGGTACTAAGTGAGAAAAGCTACCAATTCTCTTCCAGATGTGACCATGAAAGAAAACGCAACTCCGTGAAAATTGACGAAGAAGCGACTTCGCAGGAATATTCTGTTCACTCGCCTCCTTTCGCGAATAAAACGCGGCCACACTTTGTTGATGGGCTGTTTGAAGAACACAAAAGCAGGAAAAGTTCTGGAAGATTCCACCGAGGACACATTTCTTGGGACCGCCAGTCCTGTACAGCTTTCACATCATGTGAGCACACAACCGCCAGTCCTGTACAGCTTTCACATCATGTGAGCACACAACATGCCTTCGCCTACACTATCACGACAACTCCGGGGCTCTACGAACAACAACGCGATGTCAGCCTGAGCCCTAGTATACTACTGCCTGGTCCCTTCGTCATGCAAGGGTGATCCGACGATACGAAGGTACAAGTGTTTAGAAAACATCATCTGATACATCATCATCGTCGTCGTCATCCTCAGCATCATCATGACTATCTTCTTCATCATCATCATCATCATCATCATCATCATCATCATCATCATCATCATCATCATCATCATCATCATCACTAGAATAAGCCAGTAACTTCACAGAACATCGGTGAAATTCCCACAAACGACGAACCACTCCAGAATCCTGTCACGAGCACCAGCATCACGTAGAACAAACTCTGGTCAGGGAGCTCAGCGAGCACGGAGCAGAGTAGCGTCGGCCATGTACAGGCAGCAACAGCATTGATCGGACAGCTCCCAATATCTCACAATCTGCAACAATGAATCGCTCTACACAGTCCCATGGTAACAAGAAGCCGTGTCGCAATCGTCAGAAGCACTAACGACAAGCATCAGCTGAACCCTGGAGCAGTTATGCTGTGAAAAGGGAGACAACAGGACTCACGCAGTTTGTTTCCTGTGTATCGGTATTTTGGCCAGGCGTTGTCCTGTCGCTGGCCAATAAACAAAAGTGTGACGCACGTCTCGCCTGCACACGTAGTACAAAGCCTCGACGTTTTATCGCCAGACTCTATACCGTAAACCGGACAGGTGCGCTGGCAAGTGAGCAGTGACAGGGAGTCAGCCTCCTCCTGCGGAATCTTTGCACGCTGACAGCCAGCAATACCAAAGCAATCTACAGGAGAATTAGTTTTACCCGAGATATAGTTTGCATAAAGCTATGGGCGATGGCGTAAAAGCCCCTAAAAGCTAGCACTTTTTGCTACTTCTCATTGAAGATGTCGTCAAAGAGACTAAAGTCTTCCGAAGTGCTATTGTGTATGGAGTCAAACATGGGCTGCGAGCTGAGCGGCGCGTCCAGGAAGTGAAGGAACTCGTCCTGGCTCGAGGAGGACGTGGGCGGCACTGGCGGGAACGCGCCGGGTTGGGGGGCGGGGGCGTTGGGCGGCTGCTGAGAGGTGGCGCCTTGTGGCGGCCCGTGCATGCCCGCCCCAGGAGACGGCCCACCCAGGCTGTACCCGGCGGCGGAGGCGTGCATGGTCATCTGCTGCGACACCTGCATGCTCTGGTGTTGCATCATCATCTGCTGACCGCCACCGACCATTCCACCTGCCGCAGCGGCCGCCGCCGCCGCTCGAGCCTGCCCGCCAGTCATGGGCGGGGGCCGCACTTGTTGTTGTTGTTGTTGCTGTTGCTGTTGTTGCTGCTGCATCTGCGCCATGTTCGAAGCGGCGGCAGCAGCGGCAGCTGCTGCCATACTGCTAGAGTTAGCGGCAGCGGCGTAGTGCGGGGGTCGTGGGTGCTGCTGGTACTGCATCATGTGACCCCCCATTGCGGTGGTCTGCGCCATGGCGTGTCCTCCAGGCGGTCCACCCATCCCGGGCCTCATGGGGGCGTGGCCTCCACCTGCACCTGGCGGCATCATGGCGCTGCCCGGCGGCCACTCGGCGTGATTGCGAGGCTGGGAGATGAGACCGTCGGGTCCTACATTGACGTTTGGCGGCCGCTGGTTCCGCATTATTGCACTGGTGTAGGTGGAAGAGGAGGAGGAAGACTGGACGCGGGAGGAAGACTCTACGGACGAATATGCCGGCGGCTGCTGCAAGTGCTGAGCTGACGGCTGCTGCTGCGGCGGCGGAGGCTGTTGTTGTTGTTGTTGCGGTTGTTGTTGTTGTTGTTGTTGCTGCTGCTGAGGAGGTTGCTGTTGTTGCTGTTGCGGGTGGAATCCCGGGCGAATGGCCTGCTGTGAGGACTGAGGTAAGTTTCCCATGTGCGGGGGCCCGTTGGTCGCCATGGAGGCGGCGGTCAGGCTCTGCTGTTGCATGGCAGAGATCTGCGTGGACTGTGACATCATGGCGCCCGGGGCGGGCACGGCAGGGCCCTCCGTCTTCACGGCGCCATAGGCAGTGGTCTGGTTCACCATGTTCTGCATAGTCTGTAGTGGGTTGGGGTTCCCGTTCGCCCCGTTCGTCGGGTACGGCCCCTGAGGCCTGGCGTTCGGGTGCATTTTGTACTCAGGGGGTGGCCGACCCATATACTGAGGGGGCATGCGTCCTTGCTGCTGGGCAGCCGCTTGCTGTTGTTGTTGGTGCTGCTGTTGCTGCTGCTGTTGCTCCATCCGCATCTTCTCCATCATCTGCATCTTCATCTGCTCCGAGACCATGTGCTGCTGCCCCATGGTGAAGTTCTGTTGCTGGGACATGGAGATGTGCTGGGCTGCCGCGGTGGGGGCAGGCTGCTGCATCTGTAACTGTTGCGTCTGCGACATCTGCATGCTGTGGTGCGGCCCGTGAGACACCTGCACGTGCTGCGACTGCGTGATCTGAAGCGCGTGGGGCGCCGGCGCGGACGACGGCTTGAAGTGGCTCTGCACCTGGTTTTGCAGCTGCTGCAGAGAGGAGGAGGACGGCGGCGTGAGCTGCTGCTGGCGCTGCTGCTCCGAGCTGTAGTGCGTGAGCGGCTTGGTGGTGCCGTACGCCAGCGCGGCCGCCATCTCCGGGGTCATCTGACCAGAGTCCGCCCCCGCTCCGAGGTGACCGCCGGGGGCCTGCCCGTACTGGGGGAACCCAGAGCCCGGCCCGCCCACTGAGCGGTACAGTTGCGAATAGTTGGGCGGGAAACCGCCGTTACGGAGCCCGTCAAAGTCCATGGGCTTGCCCGGGTAGGCGGGGCTGTGCTGGTGCTGGTGCTGGGCCGCCATCTGCTTTAACGTCTCCGCCGCCGGGCCCGTGGGCTCCTGGATGGCGGGCGGGACAGGGATGGTGGGCGTGGGCAGACCGCCCCCGCTCATGTTCTGGTTACTGTCGAACATGGAGCTCATGGCGCCCCCTGGACCCAGGTTGGGGAAGACGCCCTTCCCGAGTCCTGGAGAACCGCAGGCTAGAGGTCCGTACATGCCGCTCGACTCGTTGCTCTCAGAATCACGCTGCACTTTGTCGTAAATTTTTTTGAATTCGTCAAGTTCCTTGAGCAGGGAAGGTTCAATGTCCTCATCCTTTTCGATGCTGTCTAGAATGTTCTGAAGCTCGTCCACATCGTCTATACCGATGCCAATGTCTCCGACGGAGCCTGGGTCCACCTGTGAGGAGGTGGGCAGATTCGAGTTGGTCGAGGAAGAAGTCGGCGTGGCCGCCGAGGCGCGCGGATTGTTGCCGTTGTTGGCGCAGTTCCCGGCAGTTTCCTCAGAGGGCTCCTGCTTACACTGCACGCTCGTGTGCACGCTGTGGCTCGCACCGCCGGCGTTGGGCGAGTTGGAATTCCCGTAGCGCGAGCTCACTGTAACATTGGTGTGTATGGTCTGTGACGTATCCTGCTGGGGGTGCGAGCTGATCTGCTGCACGATCTGAACCGAGAGGCTGGGCAGACCGGCGTTGAGCTTACTACCCCCTCCACCTCCACCACCGCCGCCCCCACTGCCACCGCTTCCTCCGCCGCCGCCGTTGAGGTTGCTGTTGTTGTTGTTGTTGGCGGCCCCGCTGTTTGCGTTCTTGTTGTTGGCCCCACCGCTCCCAGAGTGATTGTTGAGGTTGTTGAAACCGGCCTGGTCCTGCTCTTCGAAGTTGAAGACGGTCTCGGCGCCTGCGGTTGTGGTAGCTGTTGTCGCCGACGAGGTGCTAGCATCCGTGCTCACACTGTCGATTTTCTTCTTGAGTTTCTGAGGAAAATACAAAAGAAGGGCCACGATGACACACAATGAAGTAAGGGTGCATACATTTGGTAGGGTCTAAATGCGTTGTTGTTGGGGTGATAAAGAGAAATTACAAACAAGAAAAAAAAAGACAATTTTTCTTGTAGCTGTGGAGAGATTTATTTTACAATGACTTCTATAACAACAAACAACAGTGTAACATTGAAAGAAACAGAGAAACATTACTATAATAGAGGCAGAGAGAGAG